TATATATATATACTACTGGCCTCAGACTACAATCAGGTAGCCTCCATATGACACTCAGATAGCCCCTAAATGTCTCAAACATATCCTCATGTAACTCATAGATAGCCCATATGACTCACATATGACAAACAGATGACTCACAACTAGTCCCCATGTGACACTAACATAACCCCAAGATCACCCTCAAATACCTCTCAAATGACCCCCAGATAACCTTCAAATGACCCCTCAAAAGACCCCCAGATAACCCTCAAACCATCCCCCAGATAACCTTCAAATTACCCCTCAAACAACCCCCAGATAACCTTCAAATGACCCCTCAAACAACCCCCAGATAACCCTCAAACCATCCCTCAGATCACCCTCAAATGACCCCTCAAACAACCTCTCAAATGGTCGCTTTAAAGGACAAGCAGGCTAACCCAGATTTCGGTGGTTTCCAGAAATCTTGACCAACACCAAAAGTGGGCATTGTCCTACCTATAGGAGAAGTTTGGCTTCATTTGTGTGTATATTTGTTCGATGAAAGAGAAAACTCTCCTTGTCTTTTAAAGAAACTGAAGAAGGGACAAAAACTTTACCTTCGATTTTCCCAAAACAGCATTTTTCGGGTTAGCCCCCTTGTGCTAAAAAGCGACCAAATGACCCCTCAAATGACCCCCAGATGATCCTCAAAAATGACCCCCAGATGATCCTCAAAAATGACCCCTCAAATGACCCCCAGATGATCCTCAAAAATGACCCCTCAAATGACCGTCTCGGCAAAGTCCTTGTCCACTCCACCACCATCCCCACCCCCCCCAGAATCAGTCAGCCGCACCACGCCCATATACCCAGCCAGATCCGGGGTTCGAACCCCGGACGTCAACCCAGACTCAAGACCACCCGCCCTTCTAACCCCACCACCACCCCCAACAACCGCAACCACACTACTACTGCTGCTGTTGTTATTGCTACCGTTATTGCAGTTGAGGTGGTGATTACTACTACCGTTGCTATGACTACCACCACTACTACCAGGCTGACTCATCTGCCGTAAAATCTTCGGCTGTGACCCCTGACCCCGATGGTAAAGGTCATTCTCGAAGGCAGCGGCTGGGAGGTGGCCATTCGGGGAGTTCCGGAGCTGTGGCTTGAGCGGGTCAATGCTGGGCTGATAAAACCCGCCGCCCCCGGCTGTCTGTGCAGCGGTCGCCCGCCCCCTCTGAGAGTTATATCCGCCCAACCCCTGAGCAAGCGACGTCTGGCCCCGCCCCTCTTCCACTGACTGACAGCGCCTCATTAGCATATACGGCTCACCCTGACCTTGTGCCAAAGCACTATTACTGCCGTTGTTGTTGTTGTTGCTATTGCTATCGTTGTTATTATTAGTAGTATTAGTAGTATTATTGTAAATATTATCGTCTACCGCAGGATCTTGCAGTATGTTATTATCTCTGTAGGGGCCGAAACGGTTGTGAGCGGCGGGGTGGGGTACGTTCTGTGTCGGACGAGAGGGCTGCTGATGGTGGGGGTGGTGGTAACTTGGCGGGAAGTGTTCCATCCTGCGATGATCCGACCTGGTGGGGACCCGGCCCCGAGACATGCCATGGGGCGGCTGGAGGTGGGGGTGGGGGTGGTGCGGGTGAGAAACTGCAAACGCCGGGTGACCTTGACCCTGACCTTGACCTAAGTGACCCTGGCCTTGACCATGGAGTCTGGGGAAGTAGGGGTCTCCTAGCGGCGTGCACGAGCGCTCTGATGACGTGTACGACGTGTTGTGTGCCTCGGAGGACGAGCTGGAGGTAGATCTGGGGAGGAAGGGCAGAGAAAAAATATTTATACTGGAGGTTGGAAAAACAAAGAAAAAGTATTCTAGTTTTAGTTTTAGTAGAGGTTTTTCGGCACTCACAACTGCATAAGGTCATACGAGCGCCAAGGGGTGGAAGTCAATAGAGAAGTCCTTACGAGGAATCAGGCTTACTCTGCACATCTCTCTAGCTTCAACAGCACAAAGTCTGCTTCGACTATCAAGGCACCCCGGAAATAACAGGTCACAAGAGGGTGACAAACATACAAAAGAAATAGAGGATAAAATGACGATAGTTAGGATTAGGAAAGAAAAAGCAGCAGTTCCCTGTTGCAGTTCAGGAACAGTTATGAGTATGACATCGATGAATTAGCCCATTTACAATTTTACAATTCTACTGTGCATAAGAACATGGTTAGTGTCCCCCCTTTGGGAATGGCCTAAAGACACTTCAGTCAGTAGCACCGCCCCGGGGGTTGAAAATAGTTATATACTGGAGGGTGATGGACAGACAAGGAGAATACTTATACATGAGGAGGATGGAAAGACAATGAAAAATATTCGTACATGGGATGGATAATAACAAATAGCCTATATGAAAGCCTTCATCTGGCTAGCCCCGCCTACCAAACCGAAACTGAATTGAACTGATCATGCCAATGGGCAGTCGGTATATATTAGAAAGAATTCGGGCCAGGATTTTACAGGCTATAGAAGCATGAAAGATGCCCCTGTGATTGTAACAAAATTCCCTGTCACCTTTGTTATTACACAGGTGAATGAATAAAGGCTGCACATATTTTATGACTATATATAT